GGAGTGTCACATCTCTAACATGGATTCGCCAGTAGAGGTGAAGCCAGTGTCTGCAACCTGACGCCAAGACGGGTCCCTCGGCCTGGAGCGGGGCGCTGGGCCAAGCGGGCCGCAGATCTTTCCGATCCCAACCTGTGCACGCAGAGCAGCAGGGAGTCCCGAGCCGCGGAAACCCTGCCTCAAGCTCCAGCGCCGTCACATTTGAGCTGTGTGACTTTGGACCAGGCGCCTAACCTCTCTGTGCCTCCGTTTACCCATCTGTCGACTGCGATTACAGGGCCTTGTAAGGACTGCATGAGCTTAACCATACAAAGTCCGTAAGATGTGCCTGGCATGCGGGCGGCCCCGGGTCAGGGCCAGCTGTCGTGGTCATTACCAGAGCAGAGCGTCTTCCGAAGAACAGACTTACCTACGGCAAAGTTGTGTCTCCGCCTGGAAGAATTTCTTCACTGATCCTGGCCCCGAGGTCGTCTGCGGAAAAGGTACCGAGAGATGAAAATCCAGCCGCAGAGTCAGCAGGGGCAAACACACGCCAAGGCAGCAGGACGAGCGGCCCCAAGTCCTGCGTGGACAGGTGGACTGAACTGGGCCCAGCACGCTGACCGGAGGCGCCGGGACAGACAAAAAGCACCAGGCTGCTGACTCTCTGCCCACTTGCACGTTGGAGTGTGGCGTGCCTGCCCCGCCGAGCCCGGCCCCCGCCCGCCCTCCTCGCGGTCCTGTCCTCAGGTAGCTCCTCCTGGGCCGCCCCGGGGCTGAGGGCTGAAGTCTCCGCACTACTGCAGCCGCTGCGGCCCGAGCCAACCCCCGCCGTGGGGGGACCCACAGGGTGCGACAGACCTCTCCCGTCTCGTCCGCTGCTCCCCTGCCTGCTCTGCTGTCTCTGGTGAAGAATCTTCTCACCCCCTGCATGTCTGGCCTGTACCCCAGTTCTTATATACTTAAATAAATCTTTTTTTTTTTTCAAAAAGTTATTTATGCACACAGAACTGGGGTGCAGGCCAGAGATGCAGGGGCAGTGACGGGCTTCACCAGAGACAGAGTGGGGAGCAGAACAGGCAGATCAACAAAATACCCTGCTGAGAGGAGCAGCGAGGAGACAGGAGAGGTCCTCTGTGCCCTGGGGGTCACTCCCTGGCCAGGGATGGAACTCGTCCTGCAGTGGCTGCAGTCAGCTTCACAGTGCTGTGCCTAACCCCACTGAGCCACCAGGAAGGGCCCATATGCTTAAATAATCTTTTTTTAAAATATTTATTTATTTGTGCATACAGAACTGGGGTGCAGGCCAGAGGTGCAGGGGCAGTGAGAGGCTTCACCAGAGACAGAGCGGGGAGCAGAACAGGCAGAAGACAAAGTCCACTGCTGAGGGGAGCAGCGGGCATGTCGGGAGAGGTCTGCCGCGCCCTGTGGTCACCTCCGGGGCGAGGATTGGACTTGCATGGAAGCAGCTGTGGCCAGGGCAGTGCTGTGCCCCCGACACTGGCCCCAGGGAGGCCCGTATGCTTAAACAAATCTTTAAACAAAGGCCTATCTCCGTCTCACCTCTTCCCCAGAGCCTTTCCTCCCCAGGCTCCCCGGGCCTCTGATGAGCCCTGCCCGGCTGGGCTCCTGAGGGCGGCTGTGGGGTTCTCTCCCCAGGGCCAAGGACCCACCCTTTGCACAAGGCCGCCTCCCTGCCCAGAAGCCAGACAGCGCTCACCTCCCGGAGCTTCTTGATGGCCAGCGGCGTGCCATGCCTCTGTCCTCTGTAGATGTCGGCAAAGGTCCCCTCGCAGATTTTGTGGCTTTGGCTGAAGCTGTTGGTTGCTTGGACCACGTCCGCCTCTCTCCAGAGAAGACTGTCCTCAGCCAGGCTCAGAAGCGCTTCCGGCTGAGGCCCGAAGACGCCGCTGCTCTGGGGATTGGAGAGAAGAGACGGAGGTTTAGAGAAGATCGAGAGGGAAAATGGCGCTCTCCCCACTACCTCGGGATCGGGCCACCAGGGCCGAGGGGCCGGGG